CAAATCCAAGGCCCCTTCCTAGGCTTAATCTCAAGCCTATACTTGTCAACCATCTAAGCCAACAAGTGGGTGAATCTCTACCCTCCAAATGTCAAGAGATCATGCTCCCAAGTCAACAAGTGGCACCATGAGAATGTGACACTTGTCATATTTTCCAAAAATTACAAAAAGGTCATTTTTTAAAATATCTTCCAAATTAAATTACAAAATGGTCCCCAAGACGAAAAATAATTATTTTACATAATTATACTAAAACCCCAAAAATCAAGAATATTTATAAGAAAGTATGCATCCATGCCCTTTACGAAAAATTAAGCAATTAGAATGTATTTTTTACAAAAGTAAAAATACAAATGTCATGGAAAACAAATATTGTGGATGCATACAAAGTCAGAATCAAATCCGAGCACAAAAAGTGAGGTTATATAAAGAAAAATGATAAACGGGAAAAAGACAAAATAGGGAAAAGGACGAAAAAAAAGAAATCTACGAAAAAAGAAAGGAAGGAAAATGACCGGGTCATTACAGGACCACATCGACGGCACCGAAGGAAAAATAAATAATTGGAAAAGCTACCAAGGCGAGTGTACTCACTGGAAGTTTTATTTTTGAATGTGATAATTGATGTATTGAGAATGTTGATATGAAATGAGGATTGTTGATATAATATGAATATATTATATAAGGTCCATACTCTGGCTTGGAAGGAGAATAATATATTATATAAGGTCCATACTCTGGCCTGGAAGGAGAGTACTATATTAAATAAGGTCCATACTCTGGCCAAGAAAGAGAGTACAATATTATATAAGGTCCATACTTTGGCCTAGAAGGAGAGTACTATATTTTAATGCCTGTAGTATGTTAATGAAGTTTAATTGAAGGTATCAGATAATATTTGTTTATATTACCCTGATGTAGTAGTATTGCATTCACTAAGCTTTAAGCTCACTTCTTCCATATCTATATTTTTCTGGTATCAGGTTGGATTGCTACTGCCAGGTCTAGAATCTTGATGTGTGACTGGGGAAAATAACAATGGAACATCTTTTGTATAAAATGTAAATATTGTAGTAGAATTGAAGTATTTGGACTTGTAATTAACCGTTTAATTTTCTTAGAACTTACAAGGTGGATTTATAGTTTATTTTTAATTGTAACATTTTAAGCAGACACTCTGATATATGATGATGTCATGTATATATGAGGTTAATGCTAATGGTTAGATATATTCCAATTGTTTAATTTATTTAATAGTGTAAATTGGGTTGGGGTGTGTCAATGAATCTATCATAAAGATTCGTGAAAGTGTTAAGTATGTCAAAGGTTCTCAAATGAGGAAACAAAAATTCTTTGAATGTGTCTCTCATATTTCCTTAGAATGTAAAAGAGGATTAAGGCAAAATGTTCATATAAGATGGAATGCAACATATCTTATGCTTGAGTCTGCCATTTATTATTGTCGGGCTTTTTGTCATTTGCAGTTGAGTGATTCAAATTACAAGTTCTGCCCATCTCAAGAGAAGTGGAGTAGGATAGAAAAGATTTACAAGTTCTTAACTGTTTTTTATGATGTTACAAACATCTTTTCTGGATCCAAGTATCCCACAGCAAACTTGTATTTTCCATTTGTGTTTTCGATTCAATTGACATTGCGAGAGGAAATGAATAGTAATGATAAGTTTATGAGTAAGATGGCAACTCAAATGTATTCAAAGTTTGCAAAGTATTTGTCTTATTATAGCATGATCCTTGCTATTGCTGTGATTTTAGATCCTATATACAAGCTTGGGTTTGTTATTTTTAGCTATAACAAGTTTAATGGTGATAACAACATTGAGAGCACACTAGTTCCTGATTCACCGTTTAACCTTTTTTATCAATATTTGTTGAATTCTCCTATGGCTTGTACCACCAAATCCACATATTCACCAAATGATGGAGTGAGCACCTGCAAGTTGATGAGGGATAGTTAATTAAAAAGTTCATTGATGTTATGAAGGTGAATAATACTTTTGTGAGATATTAAATTCCTTTAATGACTATTTTATTTATTACATCTATTTGTTTTTCTACTTTTGCCATTGATTGATCTATTCGTTTTTCTTAATTACTGTAATGTAGGAATTTGACTCATTTGGGAATGATAAATTGCTTGGAAATGCCCCAAAAATCAGAGTTGTAACTCTATTTAGATAAACCAAAAATCAATAAGAATGCGAACCTTGACGTGCTTACCTATTGGAAAGCCAATCAGTTTAGGTATTCTGTGCTTGCCTAAATGGCTCGTGATATATTGAGCATTCCAATCACTATAGTTGCTTCTAAGTCTGCGTTTAGTGTTGGTGGTCGGGTTCGTGATCAAAATCGTAGTGCACTTAAACCAAAATGTGGAAGCTTTGGTATGCACGAGGGACTGGCTTTTTGGTTTGAAAGGTAAATGACTTATAATAAATTTCAAATTATATTTTTATTATTACAGAAAATAGTGAAGTAATAATTTTTTTGTGGATGTTTTACTATAGATACAATGAAGCATCAAGTGGATGACTTGATGGATGATGTGATGAAACTTAATATCAACAATGATAACCCTGCTAAAGGCCGATGTTCCACCAGTGTTAGCATGACCGAACATTAAAATCCAGTTAGGTAAAAAAGCCCTCTGCATTTGTTTTACTTTTCATATAATCTGTTACATGCATTCTTTTATATTTCAATCTGTTATTATTATTATTATTATTTATCTAAACTTATTTTACACTTACTTATTTTGTAGGAATTTGTACTTTTGGGTATTTCAGAAAATAGTGCATGCAGATTGCAGAAGGAAGTTTTTGAGTTGTGGATCTTTGGCTTTTAAGAAGATTGCATGTTACCTGACATTTCTATTAAATATTTTTATTTCGGTCTGTAATAACTTATGACTTATCTTTATTTCGGTCTGTAACTTATGACTTGCGACTTAATCTTTATCTTTGGCTTTTATTCTCTCTTTTGGACTACATCACTACAATACAAAAATTCTAGTAATGTTTGCTACTATTTTTATTTGCTAATATTTTAATCTTTGGCCACCTTAAACAGGTTAAGCGGGTAAACATCTTAAACAGGTTAAGTGGGTAAACATGTTAAACAGGTTAAACGGGTAACCATGTTAAACATGTCGTGTTTAGTGTGTCTAACATGACTCGTTTATTAAACGGGTTACACATGTCTTGTCGTGTTACATGTTTAATAAACATGTCGTATTCGGGTTTAGGATATGTGACACGATTATTAATCGTGTCATGTTCGGGTTGACATGTTTAGTGTTATATCCCTAGTTCGACACAGCACGATTATGACAAGCGAATCCGAATTGCCACCCCTAGAACTTCCTCTTTAGTTAAAAAAAGAAATACTTTAGTGCTAGAGGAATGGCTTGAACCCTAGACCTTTAGGAAAATTGTTGGTTAAGCTAACCAACTAAGCTACATTGTGTATAACAAATAATTTATTTAACTAAGCCCTTGCATTATTATTTGATTTAAATTATCATCCATACAGTAATACGAACCCATATACATTTTCTTATTAAAAATTGATTTCATGCTTCTAACAATTTATTTAACTAAGCCCTTGCATTATTATTTGATTTAAATTATCATCCATACAGTAATACGAACCCATATACATTTTCTTATTAAAAATTGATTTCATGTTTGTAACATTTGTAGGAGCGCTAACAAGGTGTATTATTATTCTGATATAGTGAAAATTGTCCTATTTCTTCATGTAATTTTTGACTGAGGATAAAGAAAAATATAAGACCGCAATATTTACATTCTCTAAGTTTGACAAGTAAACATGAGGATAGGGGCCAACTAATAGGGAATATTGAACCGGTTAGGAACTCCAAACGACATGGTAGTCTAATAGATTTGATAGGCTACAAGTGGCAATAATAAATATAATTATTCTTTTTGATGACATGAACTAGTTCCCTAGGTGAACACTACCATTAACTCTCTTATAAAAGGAGAGGTCTGGAAACTCAAAAGGTGCGACACAAACTCCTAAGAGAATCCTTTCACCTTCCTTCCATCCTCCTATCTAACTGGCTTGATCGTTGAAGTCTCTTAGGTCGGGATCATACTGGTGCCTTCCCGATCGCATTTCTCTTTCTTTTCCAGGTACAACGTCGTTCCAAGTCACCACGAAATCTTACATCAACAGGTTGCAACGTTGAAGGTTGATCGAGTTTGGAACCGTAAATTATTTTATGAATTTCTTGAAAGTAAGTCGTTTTTGTAAGAATGAGGTAAAATATTTTACCCCACTAGTTGTTAGGACAACAAAATACAAATAGATATATATATTATTTATTTTATTTTATTTTTTAAAAATATTTTACAGATAAATAAGAGTCATAGAGAGTAGGGATGGCAATGGGGCGGAGTGGGGCGGGGATTTCATTCCCCATCCTCATCCCCGGTCAAATTTTTTACCCCCATCCTGTCCTCCATACCCTTTTAAATTTCAACCCCCTCCCCCATTCCTGCCTCGCCCTGCCACATTAGCCTCTGTCCCCGCCTCGCATAACTTTTTTAAAATTTCAATTCACATTTAACAAAATCAACACAATTACAATATTTTTCAATCTAATAATTTAATAAAGATTTAGCACAATTATAACAATTTAAAATATATTATTTCAATCCGATCAAATTTATAGCAAAATCACATATAACATTTTTTTGAATATATTATATATTTAGTAATGTAATTTAGTAATATTTTATAATATGTAAGTGTAGTATTGTAAAAATACATTATAAATGGACGGAGAGGGGCGGGGTTATTCTCCCCGCCCCGCCCCGCTGGGTTTCAAATACAATCTCTATTCCCTTCTCATTTAGATAAATAAATCCCTAAACCTGGGTTTCATGTACAATCTCTATTCCCTTTCCATTTACATAAATAAATCCCTAAACCTGCCATAACAGGGCGGGCCGGGACCAGGAGGGGGTGGATTTTGCCATCCCTTAATAGAGAGAGCAGTATCGTTTTTTATCCACTGGGTTGTTTACCAACTTCGGATGTGAGCGAAAAATAGACCGAAGGAAGGTTTACTAAAGGATAATGAGTGATCGAGTCGTTCGTTGAATGCGAAGAGCAAAGAGACGCCGAGACGATAACTACGGCTCTCTCTCCCTCTACCTGTGTTTCTCTCATCTCATCTTACCCAATTGCAATGGCCATGGCAGACCTTCCTTGGTTGGCATGTAGTAGCCACAGTCCATTTCCGGCGGCGGCAAATTTTCGCAGAATGAGAGCCTCGTCGTCCACGCACACAAAAAATCGTCCTCTTCCAAGTCTCTCCAAATCTTACGGTTGGAGAGGTCGATTCCGATGCTCTATGGCCGCCACAACCGCAGTTACTCCGTCCAAGGTGGGTGCTGAAGGCGGTGAACCTGTGTTGGATTGCGTGATCGTTGGTGGCGGTATCAGCGGCCTCTGCATCGCACAGGCTCTTAACTCGACTGAAAGTGCCCCAAATGTGATAGTCACTGAGGCAAGAGATCGAGCCGGAGGCAATATAACCACGCTAGAGAGGGATGGTTATCTCTGGGAAGAAGGTCCCAACAGCTTCCAGCCCTCCGATACCATGCTCACCATGCTCGTACATTCCTAGTCCTCGCTCCTTAATTTTCCTATCTATCTCTATCTATCTATCTATCTATCTATAAGATACATACACAGGTTTTCTGATACTCTTCACTTCTGTTTTGTTTAATTATTCATCTATTCTATTCTTGACGTCTCTCTTTATCTAACTTTGAAAATCTTTGTCAAACTATCAATGAGCAATGCGAGTACTTAATTTTACTTCTAGTATTCATTTTTCCATCTATTTGTTTAATGAACCTCAATTGAACCTTAATTGTTGCAAAGACCCACACCCACATACGGTAGGGATTTTGATTTGGGGCCAATCTAGTACTATAATTTTTTTTTTTTATAAGTCAATTTAGTACTATAATAAAAATTTGAAAGACTTATAAATCAATTGTAATATGATTTATAACAATCCAAAAATTGAGAATAATCAACCTAAGTAAAAAACATTAATTATTTGAGAAAGATATGTCATTATCACCTTGATGGAAGATTATGAAAAAAAAGAAGAAAGTATTTTAACTAAACATAATTTCGTAAAGTTGAACAAAGCAGAATTATAATAGAGAAGTGATTTATTAACTTATACAAGGAGTAAGCTATATAATTTGTCATCTAACAAGTGAAAGCAACTAAAAATATTACCATATATGATAATATTATTGTCATCTCGATCACACTATATTTTTTAGTTTTCCCTACTTCTCAATACTCCAAAGACTCGCCGATGGAGACTGAAATATAATTCTAAATATTTTTCTTGTAATGATCATTTAAGGAAAATGATTGACAAGGAAGGTTAATATACTAGTGTAATTTTTTCTTCTCTCTCAAATTCGTATAATGGATATTAGACATGTGTATTTATAAATGAAAATGAAACAATAATATATTGCATTACATAGCAATGAATTTATATTTTTATATGACAAGATTTGAACTTTCAAAAGTAGGCTAAAAAGATTGAAATTGAAAATTTCTGAGTTTTGAGAGTACACAAGTTATATTTATTTCTAAACTCAAAATTATTGGGGGCAATAAATAAGTCTTTTGAAAATTTTATGGGGGTAACATTTGTTTTGGGGACATAAGAAGAAATTATATATATATATATATTCTTTTTGGGGGGGGGGGGGGGGGGGGCATGCCCTGGTCCCGAGTCCGATTCTCCCTCCTCGAGCTCCGTCCCTGATTACATGTGACTTGATCTTGATAACTAACTACTTGTGGTTTCTACTCTTTATTTTCTTTATCTATATCAGTCTCTACAGGCAATTGTTCAAAAGTTGATTATGCCATCATTGTAGGTGGATAGTGGTTTGAAGGATGATCTAGTTTTGGGTGACCCTAATGCACCACGATTTGTATTATGGGATGGCAAATTGAGACCAGTACCCTCTAAACCAACCGACCTGCCTTTCTTTGACTTGATGAGCCTTTCTGGTAAACTCAGGGCTGGCTTTGGTGCCCTTGGCTTGCGGCCTCCACCTCCAGTTTGTCCTCTCGACTTTTCCCTTTCACTGAGTTGAAATATACTTGCATAATTCCTTCTGCATTTATAAGATCACACATTTATACCCCATTTTGCTTTGAAATTCCTCATATTAGTTACTTTGACGAAGGTGACAGGGTCATGAGGAATCGGTCGAAGAGTTTGTGCGTCGTAATCTTGGTGATGAAGTGTTTGAACGATTGATAGAGCCATTTTGTTCTGGTGAGTGTCAGTTATCTACATTGTGAGACTATTTACTATGGTACTGGATTTTACTTGTTACTTTCTTGCCGTAGTACCTCTATCATATTCTCTTCAAATGGATCCAAAAATTTCTTGAACCTACTGGATTGTAAATTACTGGTCTTGAATGTTGTCAATGGTGAATGGACATTAAAGCATTGAAGTTGTCATGTATGATTAACTCTATTGTGAACACATTTCATCAGTATGTTAGCCTCCAATATACATCAGTATGTTTGCCTCCAATATACATCACTAAGTGTAATTTTTCCTTGCAACAAGATGCAAATTAATATTGAACCCTAATGTCAAACATAAATTTATGTAAACTGCTACTGATTTTTGCATTGTTCAATTTTGGTCTTGATATATGTTGTAATAGCATCTTATTATTATTATTTTTTGATAAGTAATAGCATCTTATTCATTAGATGATTTAGTATTAATGATACCTGACTTGCTTTTGTGATGCATGTTAAGGGTCATAGTCTAAATTTTATACTTTGTTCAACTTCCCATGTCATGGTGATATAATAATTGACCATTAGTATTTTATGATGTGGTTGTATCTTTAAACAATAACTTCTTTTATAATTCTTAAGATAATTCAATTCATTTAATTTATCATGAACTCCTTCTCTCATCTTTATTATCTGTATTGTTTTTTTTTTTGTTTAAAAACTGATGACTTTGCTTCCTACTTCTCAAACAAGCTGTGGCTTAACTCAGAAGGAATCTTTGTTGTCTGCAGGTGTTTATGCGGGAGATCCATCAAAACTGAGTATGAAAGCAGCATTTGGAAAAGTTTGGAAGCTAGAGCAAAATGGTGGTAGTATTATAGGCGGTACCTTCAAGGCAATCAGGGAGAGAACTAATGGTCCCAAGCCGCCTCGAGACCCGTAATAATATTTTTCATTGAGGCTTATCTCAAGGTTCTTTCCATCGTTCAATTCACATGTGATCAATAGCTGAATATAGTTATCTTGCAGGCGTCTACCAAAACCAAAGGGTCAAACAGTTGGATCTTTCAGGAAGGGACTGGCAATGTTGCCTGATGCAATATCTAATAGGTACACTTATTCCCCTATAATCCATATTAGATGCTTTGTTGGTGGGCTAATCCTTTTGAGATGTATGTATTTTTTCAGGTTGGGCAGCAAATTAAAGTTGTCTTGGAAGCTTTCAAGCATCGTTAAATTGGATAACAGAAGGTATAGGTTGACATATGAAACACCAGAAGGGTTGGTTTCTTTGCAGAGCCAGAGTGTTGTTATGACTGTTCCATCTCACGTGACAAGCAGTTTGCTGCGTCCTCTTTCCGTATGTTCCATTCTTGTACTTGTTTTAAGTTTTCACATTCCCATTTTGCTCATGTTGACCTGTGAAAAGATCCTAACTTGGTTGTGGTTAAACTCTACCTTCTCCATTGAATTTGGTCACCACTTTGCATCACATTGTTCCTGATCTTCTTCCTTCTTTTCATTTATTTTTTTAATTTTTGAGATTCTCTACAAGATTACCGGTTATTATATTTTTCATTACTCATGGGGCAGAGTATTTCTGTTATTATCCGAATATTAATCCTATACACATTTGTAATGATGTCATGTGTTGCGGTATGATATGAAAACTTTATTGTCTATTTCAGTCCGGCATGCCTTTGAAAGGTGTGCATGTGAGTAATTGGGAATGCATGTGCATTCATGTGTAAAAAATTCTTGAACAAGTCTGGCTGGTAGTTCATAATTTGATGAGTCATTGATTTGTTTATTTTCTTGTTTCAGAATACAATTAACTTACATGTTCACTAATTGATTATGATAAATTGAGTTGGATTTTGCAATTTTCTTCTACACTAGTTCATCATTTCATGAGCGTGAAAAGGGATTTAAGAATCACTTTTCATTTTGCAAGGGCTAAATTAACTTATTGGAGTTAGGTCTCAAATCCCGAGCTTGGCGTATTTCTTGTGGGGTTGGAGTTTCACCTTCGCCAGATTCTCGTTTTCTTTTTCTTCTACCTTCACATGCTAAATGCTTTGAAAATTAGGGGTATTACATAAGGCTATTCGGTTGTTGATGGAGGATCGACGAGAATGGGGTGACGCAATGCTACGTTTGGATGTTTGGTGTTTCAGATGGGTTGTTCTGGTGTGTTGAAGGAGAAGGGGCTGAAAAGGGTTATTTTGTATGACTTACCTCTCCATCTCTGGTGCCATGCTCTCTTTGCGACATTTGGGGATTTGTGTGGAGGGTTTGTGGGGGTGGAAGCTGATGAGACGAAAGATGCTGAAAAAGTTCTCTTCATGGTTCGAGATGGGTGCGATTGTCCTCCGGCGCTTTTCATCCACAATGATTGGCTTTGTTTCAAAGTTGTACTATGGGAAGAGATCCTTCCAGATCTTGTGCCAAAATCGAAGAGTCTAGAAGGAAGGGACTAGTCTTGTATGATTAAGGAGGATGATTGGTGGACGTTACTTATGAAGGGTTCGAAGGGAGTTGATGAATTTCAGAAATGGAAGCATGGCCGGAAGTTGCAGAGGGCTGTAAAAGATGATCGTGGACGAAGGAGTTATTCACATGCGCCTGTAGCGAGTGGAAAAGGGGACGTGATTGGGGGGACACATTGTGGGTGAAGAGATCCTTATCTAGATTACAGGGGTACAACTGACTTCGATTTGAAGCCTCATTTGGTAGAGGTAGGTCACGTGACTATCTTTATCATCCTTCTTGGGTTGGGCCGAAAGGGAGAAATGATCTCCACTGTGCTGATCATCTTAAGGTTCAAAGGCCTATTGTCTCAGTGGGGTTTAGTAACATTTTGAAAGCCCAAATGGAGGGATTTTTTATCGAACCAATCTAAGTGGGCCTCTTCCTCATTCTTGGTTGCCTCCTAATGGGATAAGTTCTGGTTCAACTATGCAGCAGGTTTTGACCGATTGATGCCAAGAGATCCGAGACAATTGTCAGGGCCAGGCGGACATGAGATTGGGCTCAAAATAGGTTAATACACCTGTGAACCCAGTATAGTCGGTTTCATCTCCACTGTCCTCCAAGCATCCTTCACCGGTGTTAGCCTCCGAAAATTCGGCAACAAACACTCTTCCTTCTCCCCTACTGTACTCCTTAACACCCACAAGCAAAGGAAGGAGTAGAAGAAGAAGAAAGAGTGGAGAGAGATGAATTCTGGGTTTTCAGAACTGAACACACTGGAGTCATGGACAGTTCTATTGATCTTCACCCATTTCTGTGAAGGGATTTAAGCCTCTACAATTTGGGTTGGAGCAAAATTCCAAGTCTTTTTCTCATGGGTCACGATTGGGGGGAGCAAGACCTTTCGTTCCCAACAGTGGGTTGCTTCAAACGAATCAAGGCCATAGCGTTGGGAACAAAAGGTATTGCTTCCTCTAATCATGACCCAGGAAAAAAAGACACGGAATTTTTCTCCAACCCAAATTATAGAGGCTTAAATTTCTTACAGAAATTGGTGAAGATCAATAGACCTGTCCATGATCTCGACGTGTTAAGTTCTGAAAACCCAGTATTCTTCTCTCTTTAATCTTTCTTCTTCTACTCCTTCCTTTGCTTGTGGGGTGTTGAGGAGTACAGCAGGGGAGAAGGAAGGGTGTTTGTTGCCGAATTTCGGAGGCTAACACCGGGGACTGAAGAGGAATCGGAAGGATGCCTGGAGGAGGACAGTAGAGGAAACAGACTATAATGGGTTCACAGGTGTATTAACATGTTTTGAAAATGATTCCCAAACCAATAGGGGCAGATGTGATGAGGTTATGGTGTGTGTGGGACATGATTTGCAATTCTGTCGAAGTGATGAATCAGCGGCTATTGTGGTTAGAGAACTTTCATTACATCAGATGCCAAAATGGTTGAATCCCTTTATGGATGTTAGGGTAGTGGAGAAGGGAAATGAGTCTGAAAGGGAATTTTGCACTCCTTTGGCCTGCAGTGGATCATTTGTTTGTATCATGGAGGATAGGGACAAGCTGCTTGGTGACTTTTGGAAGGGTGACATGGGGATTGTGCTATGGGAGGGGAGTGATTCCATGGATGAAAGGTTGTTGGTTCCTTTGGTAGTGGTGGGTCCCAAGATGGAGAGGGGTAGAGGGATGAGGAGAAGTAAGGAGAACTCAATTTCGTGTAGTTCTGCATCATTTCGTTGTATGTCCATGGTCTCAATGACTCGGAAAAAGGAAGGTGTGGAGTTGGCAGTTCGCATATGCGGAGCTCATGAGTGGTGTGTTCTAAGGAGACGAAGCACGCCTCGGTTTCGAATAGGTTGGTTAGGAGCCTTTGGGGTGGAAGATTTGTGGATGGGGGTGGCATTGGATGCTATGGGCACCTCAGGGGGCATTCTCGTGACGTATGATAAAATGGGCGTCTAAGCAAGATGTGTGGATAATATGGGTGTCCAAGCAAGATGCGTGGATAGGAAGATTCTCTGTGTCCTACAAGTTTTTCATGGAGGAGGATGGCTTTTCTCTTGGCTTTTTCTGGCCTATTAAGGTTAGGGGGCGACACTTGCTGTGGGAGGAACTCGGACCTGTTCGGAGGAGATGACCTATTCCTTGGTGTGTTGGAGGGGATTTTAACGTGATCTGTTCCCCGATAGAGAGGTCGACGGAGGGAGATGGACCTTGGTGAGGGAAGAGTTTCTACAGTTCATTGATGGCTTCCATTTGATTGACTTGCCGTTGGAGGGAGCGTCTTTCACTTGGTCCAACAGTAGATTGTATCCCTACCTTACCTCGTCTTGACTCTTGATGGATTCTTTTTATCCAGAGATTGAGGAGAATTTCCCGAATGCTGTTTAAGTGGCGTTGGCTAGACCCACGTCAGATCATATACTGTTGGTTTTGGATTGCGGTGGGTTGTGTAGGAGGAGCTCCCCTTTCAGATTTGAGAACATGTGGCTTCGGGCGGAGGTCTTCAAGGAGAGAGATCACTCTTGGTGGGAGAGTTTTGATGTGAGTGGCACCCGGAGGTTTTTTTTTCTTCGAAAAGTTACACTTATACATATATAGCACCCGGAGGTATTCCCTTGGAGGTAAACTTCGGCTTCTGAAAGAAGACCTTAAGTGGTGGAACAAGGAGGTTTTTGGAAACTTGGAATGGAGGAAGAATAAAGCCTTATCTAAGATTGCCGAGATTGATCATTTGGAGAGTTTGGGGACCTTAAGGAGGCGGTAAGGCGTTGAAGGGAGGAGTGTCGCCCGCCCGGGGGGGGGGGGGGGGGGTGAAGATTTGTCGATGCTATGGGCACCTCGGGGGGTATTCTTGTGACGTGGGATATAGATGGGTGTGTAAGCAAGATGTGTGGATGGGAAGATTCTTTGTGTCCTACAAGTTGTTCATGGAGGAGGATGGCTTTCTCTGGGCCTTTTCTGGGCTATTGAGGTTGGGGGGCGACACTTGCTGTGGGAGGAACTCGGATCTGTTCAAAGGAGATGACCTTCCTCGGTGTGTTGGAGGGGATTTTAACGTGATCCGTTCTCCAATAGAGAGGCAATGTTGTTAAAGGCGCGCCTAGGCTCGAAGCGCAGGTGTAGTGCCTATTGTCATCCCAGGCTTATTGATGTTTACTAGGTGCGCGCCTTGTCCTGTTTGTCAGGCGCGCCTCATTGATTTTTTTTTTTTTAAATGATTATTTTATTTCTTAAGCCAAGAAGGGTACTTTTGGCAACTTAATAAACAAATAAGAAAGCCCAAGTGTATGAGAGATGGGATTTTTGTTCAAAAGAAGAAACAAATAAGAAAAAGCCCAAGACTCGAAGTGTCAACCGAATAGAAAAAGAGTGAGATGAACGACGAAATCCTAGTTGCAGATACGAATGACGGAGCCACGTTAGTTCTTTCTTCTTCTTCTCTCTCTTCTCCTCTACTTCTGTCTTCTCTCTTCTCCTTTAGTCCTCTCTTCTCATATTTGTTTACATCTCTCTCTTTGTCTAGTTCTCTTTTCTTTCTGGCTCTGTTTTTTCTTTTCTTGTTAACAATTTTTTATTTTATTTTTTGTAAACAAATTTATTTCTTTTTGTGCTATGTTTTGCCATTCAAAAAAACAAATTATGTTTTGCCTTTCAAGAAAACAAATTCGTGCTCTGTTTTATGGTTGTTGGATGCCAGTATAGTTGATGGATTTACTTTTTTATATTTGATATTAATTTTTAGAATATTGATATGACTAATGAGATATGAATGTTTTGTGATAGTTTAAATTTTCAATTGTGCACCTCACTTCACTTAGGCACGCGCCTCGCGCCTAGGCTCCAAAAGACCTCTAGCGCCTTGGTGCGCCTTGAGCCTTTA